CCCCAAAACCCCAAAACCCCAAAACCCCAAAACCCCAGCATTTATAAAATAAATTGAAACTCAAATGGAGGCAAAAGAAGATCAAATCCAAGAAACCCCTGAAGTCAAAGACAATGGTGAGGGTGAACAAGATGAGGAATCTAAGAAGGAAAAAGTTATTGAAGTAACTGCAGAGGAGTCTGCTAAATATTACGACGCTGTTAAGTCAAGAGAGGAGGTAAAGCATACCAATAAAGACCTCAAGGTGGATTTTAGACAACTAACAGAGCATAATGTTGGATCTCTTAAGGTTCTTCTTGACAGGACTCTCCCTGTCAGCTACAGAACAGATTTCTACAATAAGCTAGTGTCATACCAGAGATACTCTAAGCTCGCTTACTTCAAAGACATCCTCATTGGAGCTATCACTTGTAAGAGCGATAAGCAAAAAATTGAAAAAGATGATGAAGAAAAGCATGAAGGGGTGTACATAATGACCATCACAGTGTTCCCCAAATATAGAAGATACGGAATCGCCTCAAAGCTCCTCGAGGAAGCTATTAAGGATTGATGTACAGAATGTAAGTTTTAGTATTCTTCATTTCTATCCGGCACGGGTTAAACATTCCATAGGGGAATACATCTTCCTGGATGTGCAAGAGAACAACGTATCAGCTCTAGAGTTTTACAAAAAGCATGGGTTTGAAGTCAGCCACAAACGTGTTGATTATTACACCAACATTGAACCATCTGATAGCTATTTCTTGTATAAGAAAATCTCCTCTGAATAGAGGGACATGCTTGAATCATCTTAAAATCCGGGTTTTAGAGTTTATTCGTCCGTCTACGAGTTATCTGGATTAAAACTATTTATCAAAAGGTTATAGTTGTAATGATGTAACAGTAAATATTAATTTAAGCCTACTCAACATAGTTTCAGTAATCCAAGCTTGATTCAGAGTACTTTTAGCCCACAGGATCTGCCATATCTAGAACCAAGAGTTTATTTCAATTATCTGAACACTATTTGGGGTTTTGGGGTTTTGGGGTTTTGGGGTTTTGGGG